GCTCTGGCACTGGGGCAGCAACAGCAGCAGCTGGCACAAGCTGCCACATTTGAGCATCTTAGAGAGAGGTTGGAGCAAGGAGCAGGTGGAGCTGTAGCTGACAGCCCAGAGAAGAAAATGATGCGCCTCGCTGAGGAGCAGCAGCGCCTCATGCAGCAGGCACTCCAACAAAACCTCCTGGCTATGGCCTCTCACTTTACCCCATGAACCTCAAACTTGGCAACGGTGAGTTTGCTTCTCCTTTGACCTCTGTCATGGCTGAACATCATAGCATGCTTATTCTGGAACCGACCCTTCACTGGAATTTTTGTTTTTCCTCTGTCAGAAAGCAAACACGATCTGTCGCTGAATCTCTCCACTAATGGAGCGGCCAGTATCAGCGTGTCTGTGGAGGTCAACGGCACTGTTTACTCAGGTGAGTTATGAAACCTGTAAAGGAAGCGTGTCTTCTTTGGTGCGTGACACTAATGTAGAGGAACAAGCGCACATGGTGATGAACTAAGTTAATTGATATCTACAGTGAAAGAAATAAGCAGTATGTGTACTGCACTTGTAGTACCAGTTCCACTGACCAATAACATTTCATGTCTTTGGTTGTATGAGGGTAAATGGCCTTTGTCAAGAGCAAAAGAGGGATTGTGTTTGCTGAACTGCAACACAAACGGCTATTGTTTGACTACAATTTAGCGTTTTATTTTTCTTTTAAAAATGGATCTACTTTAATAAATGAGTCACATGCAGAAGAGGAAGTCTTGATCCTAGATATCAACGAACAGATTCAGATACCAACGGTAGACATTTACCAGTTAAGGCATTTTATTAAAATCATGTCAGAATTCCTAAAAACTAACTGTGTACTAGTTAACAACCCTGACTTCTATAGTCATGATATCAACATATTCCACGTCGGAAGAAATTACAAAAACAGACAAGGCAGAGACCAATTCTTTGTGAATAAAACACCTAGTTGATACAAAAACGACAGTCTTTTCATGCAGTTCAGGCTGTTTAATACTCAAAGAAAAGGCAAGGAATCCACATGCCACATCTCAGACTCTACAGGCCTCAGTTACATCATCACAGGAGAATTAGAAGTCTCAACAAATATGAAGCCGTTTGTCTGTGAGCTAAAGCTTGGCTGAAAGTAGGTCATGTAACAGGACAATGACCTCAAGCACAGCAGCAAACGGCAAACGGCGTGGCTGAAAAACAAAAGAATCAAGGTGTCGCAATGGTCCAGTCAAAGTCCAGACCTCCACCCACTGTGGCGGGACCTTAAGAGAGCTGTGCATAAATGAATGCCTGCAATAAATAACGATGTGAGACACTTGAACTTATTACTGCTAGAGCTTGTTCTACAAGCTACCGAATCACGAGGTGGACTCTGTTTTTTAGACTCCTGTAAAAACTTTCTTTTTCAATTGCCCTTTGCACCGTGAGTTCTTTGTAACTGACAGTCATTTATGCCGTTGTCTTCTTTAGGAAAACTGTTTGCCCAGAAGTCGGCTGCTTCTGTGTCGTCACAGAACGTAACTCCAGCAGGAACAAGTGGTTTCAGCGCTTTTTCCTCCGCACAAAGTTCCACCTCCTCATCTCCCACCTCCTCAAAGGGACCAAGTTAAAATCACTGGCTTTTTAATCTGTCCGGAGCATAATGATTACACAGTGCACCACACCATTTACTTCTCTTGTCAGACAAGAACTGGATGAACTCCACGGATTCTCTGCCACAACACAGGAAACCTTCTATTACTTTAATAGTGTAATGTCAACATTTTTGACCTCTATCCTCAAGCTTATTTTAATATAGTTTCAGTTTACCTTAGTGCCTCTTAGAAGAAGAATTTTCAAACATGGTAGCTTTCTGGCATAAAGGGCTACAGGTTTGTCCAGAAGTATCGTTAATGCAAAATAATTGCTACGGCTCTTTGAACGTCAGCAACGTTTGTAGGTGTAAAAGCCGTTCCGTAGCTGCCTTTTCCATCAGTACAACAATGTGGTTGCCAAAGAGCAGCTAGTGAAGACCAAAAAGCCTTAGTTCAGTGTCATAGCTACTTGAAGCCATTTTGTATTCCTCTTGGTAAGCTTTCAGTTTACCTTGAGCAAAAGTTTTTACTTTGTGTAACTGCTTTCATGGAAAATGTAGAACATCAGTTTCCACAGAAATATCGCAACTCCTAAAGAATCAAAGTGAATTTCAGGGGAGATGTTTATTCATTTTTGCTTTATTGTTATTTATTCATTTGGCGAGGCCTCAAAATGACAGAACATTTATTTCAAGTAACTCGGAGGCGATGTTTCTGCTGGGTGTTGTATGCAGAAAGTGACACATTTACCTCAGTTGACTTCCCATGGTGGCAAGTTTCTCAGGCTACTTTCTTCTGGACTCAGGAATATCCTCTGGACTCACTGTTATCTTATATGTATGTCTTGTCATATTGCTGTTTTATATTAGTGTAAATGCAGAGAATGTATCATTAATGACCTCAACGTGAACACTGAAACGGTGCTACCTCAGTCCTCAGAGAAATATGCGGTGCTTAATGCCGCATGTGTTCATTTGTTGAAATAAACTGTAAATGGACAATCACGTACACACATGATCACAAACAAATGCCACTGGGATTTTTTTTTTTTAAAAAAAGGTTGGCTTTCAGCTCTGTTGAATTAACATGTTGCCTGTAAATGTAGGGATGAGGAATAAAATGAATCTTGTGTGCTGTAAAAATACCGTTTTCTTTCTTTGCACTTCGAATGTGTCTTCAGACTTTTGACACAGAGGCTAGTCTCTGATTGCAGATAGCATGTAGTTTTGTAATAGTTTGAAAATAAATGTTGATCACAATGCATTTCAAGTTTTAAAAGAAAAAACTGACTTTTCACTGAGTTTCAGCTCATCTTGTAGCTTACAGACCCCACTTATTTTAGTTCTCATTACTCTCATATAGTTTGTTTTTGTTTGGGTTTTTTTGCACAACAGACAGCTAATCCGTCTCTCTAAAAGCTCTTAAAATCTGCAGCACACTACCTGCTCACCAGCACACAGCAGGCAGATGTGAGTAGCCGATGAGAACAGTGGAGCAATTACCAGCTTAAGAGTGCGACGTATCCTCGATGGAAGCCAAAAACAGAAACACAAACTAAAAATAATGTTGCTTTGTAATTGTTGGACGTGCAAACAATCTGTCTGCTAACAGCTTCACTATATCAACTTAATATTAATAATATAAATAAAACTTAATATTGCTCATTGTACACACCTAAACGGTGAGTTGTTATTGTTTAGTGGGAACACATATGTAGACTTATTGTTATTGTTATTATTCTATAGCTTTACATGATTCAAAATACAGTAATCCTTATTTTTCTTATCCAGGTTGTCATAGCTCCCCTTGAAGGCCAATGTTCCTCTCTAGTTAGGTTGGGACCCTTATATGGGAGCTCTATGACCCTCTGTTATAAGGTCTTTACTGTAAAATCAAAAGCGCCTTGAGACAGCTGTTGTTGTAATTTTGCACGATATAAATAGAATTGAATGAACAAGCACTTTGTGGTGGTTGGAAAGAAAAATTCTCTTTTACTAAGAAGAAACCTCAAGTAGAACCAGGCTCAGGGAGGGGCAGCCTGCAGATGGCTGGCATATAATCAGTTTACAAATTATGTTGAAAAGATATATAATGTAACCACTGCACACTGTCCCACTTACCATAATTTGTTATTCAGTTTCAGTCTGTGTGACCTTTGTCAGCTACAAAGGAGCAGTGTTCATGCACATTTGCACAGATATACACACTGAATAAGATTCAGCCAATTAGGGATTCCTCCTCTCACATGTGCATACTATCGATCAGGTAATGAGTCCACTGGAAACATCCATGCCATCATCAGAAAGCCAAACAACATTTAACATCGCCAGCTGATCTGAAAAAAGACCCTTGTATGTTAGAATCGGCGATGGCGTGCCGTGCACAGGGGCCAGTTTTGTACTTTTACTCTGGATATCTCAACTGGCTCATTATAATTGTGCGATACAGCTGCCTTTATTTAATTAAAATAGCTGAACAGCAGCTCCTTTCCATCACTGGAAAGTTGGATCCAAAAATTCAAGAATAAGTTCTCGATTGGCCAGATGGGGGTAGTATTTCCTCGCCTACACATGACACACATACACTAATCCATGTTCAGGGGTGTTGTGAACAAGCAAAGATGCACATCTGTCAGTATGCCAAGCTGTTTCTGATGTCTTTAACTTGGAACCCGAACTGTGTAGCAAGAGGGGGAAAAAACAAATGTAAGTGTAAATTTAATTACTTTTTTCAGTCCCTGCAGTTTGGCTTCTGTCATAGAGACACAAAGAAAAAAAACTTCTAAGCTTACTGTGATGTGTAAAAATCTACACATCACGTTGTGAATATGGAAAAGAACCTACAGAGTGAGCTTTACTTGCTTAACTCTGTAGCAGACCTATCATGACAGTAATAAATAAAAAATAATTAAAAAAAACAAATTCATGGGTCAAAGGAGCGTGGTGGTGGTGGTGGTGGTGTGTGTGTGTGTGTTGGGGGGAGGGTTACAGGATTTACTGGTTAGGATAGTTATGCTATAGTGAAAATGCTGGATTTACATCTGGAACACTGAAGAGGAAAGATGCTGCGGAGGTATTATGACGGCTCTCTCCGCCCACGGTCCCCGCCCACCAGGCAGGAATAATAGTGTGTAAGTCACTTTGCAAATGAGGTTATCACTATCCAGGGATGCAGGCTGGAATATACGGTATGCAGAGAGTTTGGACAGAAGGATGATTTTCTGACTCCCAACCGAGAAATAGATCTACAGGTGGAGAGAAGAAACTTTAAATTAAACCAGTTATAATTTTTTTTAAATTTACAGTAATGTTTTTATGAAGGCACGTGCAAATGTTTTTGTGCCTTTTTTTCCTTTACTTGATAGTCTAAAATAACGTTGTTTGGCTTTGTTTTGGACTAAAAATCTAAATGTGTTTTCATCAGTCGAGCAAACGATCTTCTTTACTTGGACATTTGGGCTTCTGCTTGTGGATTTCTTAGTAGGCTCTACTGCTGGCACCATGCCTTATCATGATGAGGAGTACCCCGGTCAGCCTCTGTGGCAGTCTGTGCTGCTTTTCTGCTGCAAGGGCATGATCGAGGGCATCATGGTCATTCTGTTCTTCTGGCTTCTGGTTCAGGTCCTGTTCACCAAACAGTTAGAAGGTACGGTATCCGAGTCCAAAACAATAACCACATCGCCACATGCTATTACCATATACATGCTGATGAAAGAGCTCCCTGGTCCATAACGGATGTGATTCTGTTGTTTTCATAGATAAAGCAAAGCTAGAATAACATCAAATGTTTCTTTCCAGTGTTTGTGTTTTTGGTACATTTTGTGTTGCTAAATCTCTTTGATAATTACATCATTTTTACTCATTTAGAAACCTACTTTAGTGATGCATATCTCCACAAATTAAGGGCTGTAAACTTGGCTACCCAATCATATTAGGAATGGCATATTTATTAATATATTGTTCAGTTTTTATGTGTATATTTTAAGAAAGCTCTGACAAAATTTGAACCAGTCATTTAGTAATATGCTAATATCTTCCAGCACATGGCCCAAAATACTACATTAACTGCATTATGTAATCCCAGAGTTGACTGAGATGAATTACTTCTGCCACCTGACCTTATTATCCCTTGTTGCTTCTACAGTTCATCTCCAGATTCTTCTTCTGGTTGGGCTGATCACCTTTTGTCTGTGTTTGGTCCTGGGATGCCTTCTGTGCTTGTGGAAAAGTAAAGTTTCTCGAGTGAAAGACAAAGCTCCTGCGACATCAGCACCAGCTCCTGCTGAACCTGTGTCCTTTGCTCAGACCTCACCTTCTCCCTCAGCAGGAGCAACAGCATCAGCATCCAAGCAGCAGTTTGCTGAGCTGGATGAAGAAGTGCTGGAGTACCCGTCCACTTTTAGCAGCGCTGCTACTTCAGAGGGTGAATTTGGCTCTCTGGCATTTTCAAATCAAACTTCCTGTGAACAAAAGGAGCCTCCAAAGTCTTATTTTTCCCTGCGCCGCCTCAGCACACCTCTGCTTTCATCACCCCTTTATAAACCATTAGACCAGAGTCATAGCTCGCTGCCTTCCTTTCCCAAACTGGGACTACTGGCCAAAACACGCAAGGCCCTGCAGCGACGCTGCACTGTAACTGGGGAAGACATATCTTATAATGAGCACACTAGACTCACCAGACCCAGTGCTGGCTCTCCTTCTACAAAAGAAAAACCTATCCCATTGGCCCCACTAAGCTATGGCTCCAGTGCAAGCTGCCAACATCCAATATCACCAAAACCCTGCCTCCACTTCACTATGGCCTTCTCTCCAGGGCAGCAAACCCTGACAGTCACTGTCCTCAGCCTCAGTGGGACGCCTCACAGGCTGGAAGATGTGTCTGTGCAGGGCAGCCTACCACCTCTCTGCCCCTTTCCTATGAAAGCCGCTGTGCAGAGCAGCTCCAGCTCTGAAGCCCACAGCCTGGTGCTAATTTTTAAGGTGAGCTCTGTGGAGGAGCTCCAAAGGTGTGTACTGAAGGTAGCTGTGAATGCACGAGAACCAGCGAGCCCCAGACGCAGTTCTCTGGGTGAACTGGAAGCCGAGTGTGCAGGAAGAGACTGGACACCACAGACGCCACTTCACTTAACAAAAGAACTCAATCGAAGCAAGTAGAAAATAAAAAAGGTAGCGAAGGTTATACACCTGTGAGTGGTTTAAATGTCCGTACTTGGAGGTAAAAGCAACTTGAATGATTGATTAGGAACCTTTCGGGTACAAATTTTAGACCTCTGAACTTAAATCCTGGAACAATAACAAGATGGAAGAAAATGTAAACAAATTTCCATATTTTTTTCTGTAGTTTTATTTATTCATTGCTGTGTATGACAGAGCTAAATGTTCAAGTTGCAATTCCTGCCAATTAGGAATGCCCTCTTTGCTCTTTGAACTTTTGCCCTTTGATTGCAGAGTCTGACCTCTCAGGATGCACTGATGTGTAAGGGGCTTAGCTGTCCTCCACAGATCTTCATTTTGCTTCATTATCAGACTGTCGCACTCTGTTAAAGTCACGGTCCTCAGAGCTGATAATCTAGACAGCCTTGTTTCTACATCAGTGGCAGCAGGTAAAACCAGAGTTTGGTGTCACTTAAACTCGACAAAATGCGTATGTGATTTCAGAATGCTATAAGGGCATAATAGATAGACAGATGTATTATATATATATATATGGGTATATATATATATATAATATATATATATATATATATATATATATATATATATATATATATATATATATATATATATATTATATATATATATATATATATATATATATATATATATATATATATATATATATATATATATATATGGGTATATATATATATATATATATATATATATATGGGTATATATATATATATATATATATATATATATATATATATATATATACCCATATATATATACCCATATATAATATATATATATATATATATATATATATATATGGGTATATATATATATATATATATATATATATATATATATATATATATATATATATATATATATATATATATATATATGGGTATATATATATATATATATATATATATATATATATATATATATATATATATATATATATATATATATACCCATATATATATATACCCATATATATATATATACCCATATATATTTATATATATGGGTAGAACTAACTTTTTTCTTTCAGGGGCAGAGGTAAAGTAATTCCCTATGTTTGCTTTTAATGTTTAAGGGATTAAATGATGTCTTACAGGACCAGAATGCATCAGGAGATCATCCCTTTTTTAATGACATTGTGGTTTAATCCTTCGCTATTCACAATCCTCAGGAAACATTCCAATCTCCACTGGTGCTCTGATCTGTCAGGTCTAATCTTTGTATGCATTAGTCTGTCAAGGCATTATTTTTTTATTTTTCTATTGCATGCAAACTCATCCTGTATATAGATCCAAGTGATTTCATGATATCAGTTTCCTGCACAATATGTCACATAAGCATGACTCAGATAATCTATTTATTTTATCTCAGAACCTGAAAGTACTTGTTCGTGAATAATAAGAGGCAGTATAGTGAATAACCCTTATATACTGTATATGCAAAGTTAAATGTGGTGCAAGTGCAGTGTAAATTCCAGCTAAACATCTAAATTTAAAAAATGTATTTCACTCTTTTTGAACACTTTCACTCTATGCTTTATTTAAGATCTAAATCGTCTAAAAATCTGCTAGTACTTAACGAAAGTTAGACACATTGTGTTTGTGTATATGCATATAGACTACCAGGTGATCAATCTGCACCACGAGGGAGTTTTGATGAGCAGCAGAGAGACTAAAGCAGGGTCCTGTACTGTGTGGAACACTTCTTTCCTGTTTGACCTGCCTCCAGGAGACATCAGTCAGCTGCCCCTCATGCTTGAATTTGTAATAAACCAGGTCATTAATCATCATATACCACGGCAATAGTTTTATTTTTCCGTTATAATAAATGCAGCACAATTCAGCATCCCCTCTCTTGTCTAATGTGGCAGAATGCAGTCCTTTCAGAAGCCAGAGTTGTTGGCCGAGTCTTCGTTGGAGCAGAGGTTGCAGATGCAGGACGTGCTCATTGGAGAGACATGTGCAGCCAGCATGTGGAGCAGGCACGATGGCACACTATTCAACCTGAAACCGCAATAGAATAAGGCTGTTTGATGACCAATGGAGCGGATTTACTGTTGAGCTCTTTGGGCAACAAAAACGGTCAGACATGAAGCGCGTATGGATAGAGTCAACCTGTGATCTAGTTCACCTCAAGGTGCTGTCTACACTCAAGATGATACACACCCTCCTAATCTGGCAGCTTACTTGGACTTCAAAAATTTCCATCTATGGCATCCCAGTGGAGCTGCCCCCCAGCACTGCTGCTGTTTCAGTTCCTCCACCACCTCACTGTCAAAATGGGGATTTAAGGAGGTGTTATTAACTCATCGGCTCTGACAGATGTTTGAAAGGAGTGATGAGCTTGCAGCCAAACTCTGTATCCTGGAGTTGTCTGACTGAATTGTTGTTTAGGTATATGAAATGCCTGTGTTCAGTGAAACTCTGAGAAATCAGTTCTTTCAACATGGCCTTATTTCAGCATATCAGTCACTACATTCTTCTATGCAAAATGTAGAAAGTTGCTTTTAGTGTACGTTTCTGTAAAGCAAAGCCCAGGATAAACCTTTTAATTGTGCAGTCTTGTATCCATTTGGTTTCTATACCCAAAACGTTTTAACTGAACACTATAGTCTTTACAATACAGATGTATTTGGTCCTTGTCACTAAAACTCTTTCTGCCGGATTTTATCAGCTAAAAATGCTAAAATTATTGTTGTTATGGTTCCGCTTAATGATTTTCTGTAACAACGATACAATAAAATATTTGAATGGAACAATCATTTTCTGTGAAGCATCAGGAATAAAGCTGGTTGGAGTCTTCACAAATACGTCATTTAACCTCTCCCTCCTCTTCATCAGGGCTACAGATGTGTACAAGCTCAGCCAGGAATATTCCATCAGGATAAAGGGGAAGTGTCCTCTTCCACTCTGGGCCATATTCATCTGAACACTGAGAAGACTTATCTGAGAGCTTTTTGGGGGGGCTACGGTCCCAGATTGACCTCTTTGACCTTAAGGCTTGACAAAAAGAAAAGACGGAGAAAATTTAAATTTCCAAACTTCAAATCCAACAAACAGACTAGAAATACAGAAAGAACTCAAACATAGAATCAGAAGGTGAATTCATTTAAACTAGAGACTTCTCCACCAATGACCATTTTTGTGCCTGTTTAAAAAAAAACAACAACTTCATGGACATTTGTGGACATGTCCCTGTTTGGGATGAGTACATCCTAAGACTTGAAACACAACACAGCCATGCAGACACGTTTCTACACTACTCATTACACTGATCCTAGCACAGCTTCACCTTGCAGCAGACTGTCATTTTTTGCCTTCAGATTGTTGATTTCTGCAGTCATAGCTGAGATCTGATGAGGAGAGGAACAGTTTCAAACCTCTGACTTCATGTTTCCTCTTGCAGGTGTGCATTGGCCATATTAATGCGCTATTTTATGATTTTAATCCTTTTTCTAAAAAATGTTCAGAAAAGTTGGTCAAAGATCTTCACATGGAAAAACACTGTAACTCATTCCTATCCTTTCATGGTTGACTTCACTGTGTTTCTACTGAATGGTTAACTCCTTTGCTTTATATCCGATTATTTACCAAGTACAAGGAGTCATATTTGAGATTATAGCAGAAATGTTTTTTCCACGTACCATTTAAGCAGCTATGCAGTCAGAACGACAGCCCTGCTCTTTGATTAAAGTAGAAGCTGGGATTAGTGCTCTCTGCACATATGCGTGTATATATGTAATGAAAGTGAGGGCGGTTCAGAATTTCACAGTATAATCTGCGTGTCACGATAATGCCACTAAAGATATTAAGTCGAATCAGTTGCCGATGATATATATCCCTACAATATATATATACTGTATATTCTTTTTATTCTTTTAGTTGGATTTTATACATTTTTGAACTTGGCAATGCTTTCTGCAGCTGAACATTAAGTTTAATAACCTGCTGTTTCTGATCAAGGAGGCTTTCATCATGGGTCTCCTCTCCTGCCTCTCCCTCCTCCTCCTCCTCCTCTGCTGGACAGCCGTTAATCTCCTCTTCATCCTCCTCGAACACTGGCATCAAACCCGAGGCTTGTTGCCAGTTTCTCCTGTCCACTGCAGCCTGAGAGAAAGTCACAAACACTTTTTGGCCAGGATCATTGTGTTTTTCAGCTTTATATGGCTGAGGCTTCTTACCCTAACAAGTTTAACTGTGGGTGTCCAGTCTTGAGGTGAAGAGGCTCCATTGCTGTCACCCTGCTGGGCCTCCTTTCCCTCTCGTTCTTTAAACAAACTCTTTAACTACAGATGTAATAGAAAATAGCAGTTACTCAGGCTTGTTGTAACCTACTGCAGGTGTAAAACAAAACTGGCCACACTAGCAACTCCCTGAATGCTGGGACTAGCGCTATCAACATGCTAACATGCTAACACTAGTTAGAATGTACAAACTTTGTATAACTTTGTTTAATGTTTTAACCTGCTGGCCATCATTATGTAGCTGAAGCTGCAGCTGCAGGTAATACTGTTGTTGTTTATTAAATTAATTACTTGATATAGTAATCATATTAGCATCTGATTTAAAATTTATTGGGATGTTTCACCGACAACCACAAGTCCAAACTTGTTGCAGGCTTTATCCTGAAATTCTCTGCAAAATCCTACGGCTCCCCTACCAATTCATATAAATAAGATTGTATTTCAGTGAAAGATTAATAAGTAGACTGATTAACATTGCCACTCTGGAGCCATAGTGCTAACTTGGATCAGGACCAGAATCATACACTACCTGCTCAGTAACCAGTCTCCTTTGCTGCTCTGTGTCTACATTAAGCGGACAGACTGTTTTGCCCCTTTGGCCTTGGACAGAAGGTTTCCCATCTTCAACCTGTGGGCAAGATTTGCCTCATTTGTTACATTTACAAAGACAGGTGGCTTATAGTACATTCCATTTATGGACTTGACCTCATAAAACTGCCTCTGGGTTTGAAGCTTCGAGCTTGGGAGGATTTGGTTCACCTTCCCTGGAATCTCTGAAAACATCAGGAAGTCGTTTCAGAACTCAGCAAGGTAAATCAGTGCATTGAATCCTGGCAGGCCGGCTCATACCCTCTGAGTCACGAATGAAGATGTCTGTTAGAATGCTTCCCTGATCTTGGCCATCTTCAGGAAGCTTTTTCATGAGCTAAGGGGAGGAGATAAGAACATACCCTTCGGGTTATGAGTGGTTAAATGTGTTGATTTATAGTATGATCAGGTTGTAGTGACACTACCTTGAGCTCCAGGGCAGAAATCTTGATTTTAGCCTCATTTTTTTCCATCTCTCTCAGCCTTTCTAGAGTCTTTAAAGCATGTTCTCTAAGACAGTGCACATACTCATCTGTTACACAGTCATTTTCAGAGTCTACAACAATACGTCACACATAAGTTTAAGAAGTAAGAAAGCGTACTTTTCGCTCAGTTCATTCTCTTTGTCTGCAAGTTTTTGCTTCAGCCTTTGAACCTCACTGCTTTGGATGCTGACCTGTACGTAAATTACGAAAGACAACATCATCTTCTCGTCACAGTTCCCCTCACCTTCCATTAAGGTGTCAAAAATGCACATAAGTGAGGCAGGAATATTTTGTTACCTGAAGGAATTTGTTTGGGTGGCTCTCAGAGTCCCATAACAAAGAGGATTCTGATAAGCTGGAAAAAAACAGTTATGATGAAGCTCACAAAATTTCATTTCAAGCACTTTCCTGACATTGTGTTTTGAAAATGAAAATCTCATCAAAATCTACTTACCATGTCTCTGTCCCTTTGTCTGGAATCTGGCCCCCTTCACCTGCAAATACAACGCCCCCTTGTGTCAGAGAATTATTTAATACTGGATAACTGCAAAATACCTGATCTGTATTCTTGTCTGGAATATTTTCACTTGACACAGATTATTCAGAAGTGAGCTCACCTTTACCTTCGTCCTTATCTCTATGAAGACGTGCCTGGCTCCTGCTCCTTTCCAGCTCCAGCTTTTCAAGCTCATCCCTGAGCAGCGAGTCACATCCTCCCTGAATGTTACAGGTGTTCAGTTATATCATCTACAGCTACAGGTTTCTATTCAGAGGCACACTGCCCTCTTTGTGCTGCTTCGGATTTAGATCTTTTTTCTCTAACTGGAAAAATATTATCAAAATGTTTGATGTTTGTTATACATGGCAATTCCTTTTTTAGCCTCAGCAGTATTTTATTATAAACACTTGGATAAATGCACTTATTAAAAGTGATCTCCCTTCACAAAAATAGTTTGACGTATAAGTAAACAAAATCATTTTGTTTACTTATACTTCACTTGGATCTTCCACTGCACAGAATTAAGTGTGTTCTGACATCAGAAGGCGGTGTTTACATTCATCTGCCCAAGAGGAAAACTTTCTTTGCACTTATTCCAGACATGTGTGATTGTGAGACATGACATGTTAGCCTGGAAGTTAGTCATGGTCCAGGAACTTATCCAAGTGCCTATGGAAAATATCAAGGTCTCATACACTGGGAAAAGACTTTAGTACAGTAGTAGTGTCTGAAAATGATTATTTGGGAGAAGCAGTATATGAGATATACTTGATGTCTTTAAGAGCATGGTAAAAGGATGTTCTTACTTTATTTCTTGAGTTCTTCTTTAACTCCTCTAACTCCTCTTGTGTAGACTGCAGGGTCAAAGCCACTTTTTGCCATTTCTCTGTCCAATGTGAGGCCACAGCCTTCAGTTCCTCGATGGTCTGGACCTTTACCACATCTTGTTTGCGATACTCTTCCTCCCGCTTTTCCTTCTCAAACACCTCACCCTCCAAACGCAGACACTGATTCCTCAGTTTCTGGTTTTCTAGTTCCAAGACTTCCACAGATTCCCTGAAGAAATAGTTTGACGTTTATGTAAAGAGAATTGTACTGCACTGCATAGTCAATAACGAATAAAGAAGCATCTTCTCATATTAAATAATATGTGTGATCTCCATCTCACCTGTGCTCACAGCACTTTTCCTGCATTTCTTCTCGTCTGCCTTTAATTTCACTCTGCAGTTCCTCTTTTTCTCTGATCAGCTGAGAGCACTGCACCTCCAGATCGGTGACCTGTTTGGTGTTTATGATTTTCTCATCTGTCAGCTCCTGTAGCTCGTGGTGTGATATCTCCAGCCTCTTCTTGATCATTTCAAGCTCTCCTCTTATTTTTTCATTTTCCTGGTGCAATTACAGGAAGGCAATACTTCAATTAAGAACCCTCCTCCCAACTAAAACTTATTGAAAGAATAGCTCCTCAAAAGCTTTTACAACCTCTCTGAGAGCCTTTGAGTCTTCCTTCACCACAACATCTTTCTGCTGCTGTTTGTTGTGAGTCTGCATCTCCAGGACTTGAACCCTGTGGAGAAGATTTGTCTTCTCCTGTAACGCACCCGAAAACCAAGATGTAGTTATAAATCACAGTGCTTTGATCTATGCTGTGGATTACACTCACATCACAGTTAAAAACAATACCTGTATCAGGTGATCTTTGTCACACAGAGCCTCAGTCAGTTTGGACTTTATTTCCTTTATATTGTCCTCCAACTTCAACACTTGAGTTGATAAGATGGCTTTTTCCTGAGCAAAATTAGGAAGATAATGTTTTAAATTAATTTTGATCATGTGTGTTGTAAAAACTGGACTTATGGGACTTTGATTGCGCATTGAAGGAAGTTTAAAAAAAAACCAATTTGCTAACATCATGAAACATTTGTCATTTAAAATGGATCACATCTCTTTTCTCCGGAGCACAAACTATACAATGTTAACTGGTCAAAACAAATTTTGTTTATTGTCAGCTTTATCAGGCTTATGAGTGTGGATGTGCAATGAAATACTGAATTCTGGCAAACTGACCAGGCATGCTTGGCTGATCTTGTTGTTCGCTTCGCTCAGCTCTTTCTGCAGTTCAGAATGATCCTGTGCAGTGTGGCTGAGCTTCTTGTGCGTCTCCTCTATTTGACTCAACAGCGTCCTCTGCATCTGGGTGTGCACAGAAACAGAGCGCACACTGAAGAGATGAAAATAGCAACACCACTGATGCATGACACACAACACACTTTCATGTCACTTATACAAAACTATCTGCGATAACACGAAACCATCAACCGCTGATGATTCTTAGGGAAGGTATTTTCACACAAAACACTCATCTAAATATGACGGTGCACACAAAGAACCTCCTTTACAGCACTCCCCATCAGCAGCGAACTCCTCCGACAGGACAGTGTGAGTGCCACACCACAAAAACAAGTCAGAACAAGTCCATGTTCACTTGATGTAACAGAAAAGGGCCCAATGCACACAGTGTGGCCAGACAAGTGAACTTTTTCTGATTGTGCAGCTTTCCAGATACCTTGTTGCAGTGCAGCACAGCTCACTCTGTTCCGGCATCCTGCTCAATTAGGGGATGCAGAATTTTGGTCAGTCTCCCCTGATACCACACCCTGAACCCATTGCTCCAACCACACCCTGCCTGGCTTCCAATCTTCCCCAGTACCCACTGAAACAAGCCCATCCAACAGAGGATGGACCCCACAATCCACAAGACCCAAAGGATCCCTTGGAATCAAACCCCAAGAAAAAACCCCAAAAGTTCCACACAGTCAGATATCATTTGGTGAAACAAAACGGAGCAATACAATATATGACATTTGATTGTAGCATTGTGTTAAATTGTAATATTTTTAAATTCACCTCAATAGACGCTTGAAGCTGTTGGAGTGCCTTGTTACGCTCTTCTTCTAGTATCTTTGCCTTAGTCTCAGCCTCTTTCAGAGCCTCTCTCAACTCCAGCATCTCTGTGTCAACTTTCTGCTTCTCCTGGATTAAAACCATTTTTTAGAAAAAGTGTCATTTAGCAAAGGTGAACAAGGAGTCACACCTTGTTTAGCGTGAATCTTTTATAATAATCCAATGACTTCAACATCTGTCTGTTAAGACCTTCTTGACTCACTGGTAATGTTCTGTTGAGCGAGCCCGGAGCTCTCTCGGTTGATTGATCGATGCTTCCTCTGTCCAGAGCAGACCTCATATGTAACAAATCCTTCTCCAGATTTAAGACCCTTGTAAGCAAATATCATGTGAGAATTTTTTCTTAAATTATTAAATATTTTTTTCCTGGACTTACTTTTCACAGAGTTCTCTGCACTGTCTGCTTTTTTCATTTTCAGCTGATACAGCAGCCTTCTTCTCATCCTCGAGGCCCTTCATCATTTGTGGTAGCTGCTATGGGACACATTATTACGTGGTGAGAGGATGCTGTGTGCAAGACAAACCAAATACGTATCCAGAGTAGCAATCAATCCAAAACAGCTAAAGAGAATGAAAAAATCAACACACTCAAAACAAATAAGGCATTTGGTCTTAGACATTTCAATCAACTTGCCCTGCCAGGCAGCTGTGCAATAGTTGCGTTGTAGCTCAGCATGTCTCTGGTCTTCAGCCAGTCCAGTTGAGACTCAAGTCGCTCGTGAGCCTCCTGCAGCCAGTGCACCACTTCTGTTTGTCTGAAGCTACTTCCATCCCGGGCAGCCCTTAACTCAGCCCCTAATGATCGTGTGGGACTCTCAGGCCCCAGATGGGACAATGATTGCCACCTCCTTAGACCTGGGTCATTTTGCCTGGAGCCACCAGCACTGCTCGATGTTCAGAAACACATAAATTAGCCATATACCAACCTCACTGAAAACTCATGTCTCTATATAATATTCCCCCAACCTTGTGCTGACTTTGGACAGAAAGCCTGATCCTGATACAGATGCCACACCACACCATGCTGATGTCTAAAAAGAGGAGCGGGAAGCATTTTCTTTTAAATAATTACCTTCTGATTATTCAAGTTCAGAAATATAAAATGATATCTTGATCTTGCCTGGCCTGTAAAGCGAGATTTGGTGTCCCACATATCCAGGTCTGCAGAAGAAAATGGGCTTGAACCCCTAAACATCCTGTAGCGTCTTCCTATCCAAGTTAATGCTCCTCTCTGTTTGGGAGATGTTACACTCCACACGTCTGCCCACGTGTCAAAGACAGATTTTCACACAAAGATGACAGCTCAACGTGTTGTGGCTATTCATAGATCATGTGTCTTGATATTTGAATTGCTTACTTCATGATCATCATCTGGTTTTAACACTTTGGGGTTGTTACGGCGTGTTTATGAAATTTAGATAATTCAGTGGTCGTTGTTCTTCATGTGTTTTTCACACCAGTCTCCATATCTAAATGCATGTATACCATGTCATCAACTGTATCATGAGAGATAAGAACAGATGTGCATGGTGAAATTTAAACTGACTTCTGCAGTGCACTAAATGACACTTTCTCTTACCTTGATGAAGAAACCCTCTCTTGTGCACTGAGGATGCTCATTTCATCTCATGGAGTATCACGCAGCTTTGATAACACCTTTTTCAGCATATAGCCCTTTAGCGCGTGTATCCATGACAGCCTCTGCACACAGGACTCTGTTGGGTGAGTGTGTCACGGATAACACTCCTGGGATAGCCTCTGCATGAGCTCACTTTGCCTGCTGACTTACTTGTTTGTTGACACGAGTTGTCAGGAGCATCTCCCAAACGACCAGCTTGTCCTTGATTAATTATGCGTAACAGTAAATGATTGACTGTGATCGCTCTAAGCACAAAAAGAGAAAACAATGCTTGATATGATTGTTTTTTTCTTTCTTTCTGTATTTAAACTTCAGGGAGCAACATGATGGATAATCTTTGGGCAGTTCTATAAATCAGTGTGAAATATTGCACACAAGTGGCAAAATCCAAATTTGTTTCTCTGCGTTAGCAAGTCAGACCATTATTCAGAAGCACTGCTCTGTTAATGAAAATTTTTCCACCAGCAACAAATATTTAATGACTCAATATTCTACTAACCAAATCTATTTGAATTAGTGGTTTGCCATTTGCAAGTAGGTACTAGAACCCATGCTGAGATGGGATCACACCAGCTGAGACACTAATCACACCATTTCTGACTCATGAGAAGTCAGACATCATGACATCTGTATTTTGTACAAAGAAGTACTCGGTACATGTTTGTTTAAAATTATGACCTTCATTTTCTCAGTTACACATTTTTAAAATTGCAGTTCTTCTATCAATACCACAACAATTATGGGAACAAAATACACAAATGGATAAAAATGTATATACGTCTTTGTTTGCTTGTTTTAAAATATTTGTTTCAACTGAAAATCTAGAAGTGAGGTTATACTGAGGTTTATGTGGAAGCTTTGTTTCTGCCACTAAGAAAAAAAAAAAGTCAAATGTCGACTTATTTATTACAATTGTGTATCTCAAATTTTTGACTTCTGTTGAAGTCATTTCTGAGAAAGTCTGAATTTTTAGATACCATAGGCGAAATTTCAAGTTTAGTTAATGAGACTAAACTGAAATTTGGACGTATAGAAGACATTTTTCTATTTTTTTCAGTGCCTGAAACAAGTTTCCATAATATCCATAAGATGTACCCACTAAAGGAAATTTGTTTTTGCCAACTGTAAGTCAAAGCTACGCTGTTACGTATCGCTATAGTTATATGAAATAACTGGAAATTTCGAGATACTAAGTATGTCAACATGTTGAGATACTAACCAGAGATTTTGAGATAATGAGTTAAAATTTCTATTTAGCTCTGCCTGACTTTTTGTGTTTGTGTTTGTGTGTTTGTGTGTGTGTGTGGGGGGGGGGGGGGGGGGGGGCAAAACAAGCTTCACCACAGATTTCCAGCTGTCTGGCAAAAAATTGTTAAGCTTCGGCTCTTATTTCGAAAAGGTACTTCTTCCGGAAACAGGAAGTGGTATAAACCGTGAAAGCTTGCTCCATTCAAAAAGCTAAGAAGCTAATAGTTGAAGAAGAAACAGTTTTCTTATGAGCACTTAATATCGCAGTTTATTGAGTTGTATTGTTCAGGAGGCTCTTCATCACCGTAACTCCAAAAAGGTAAACAATTTTTTTTTCAAGGCGATATTACCTTCATATAAACTTAGCTAAGGTTGATAGCAGGCCGTGGCTAAGCTAGTCACGACTCTCTAGTAAAACCGAACGACTAGTATTTCTGATGTCCTGGTCACAAAGTTAGCTAACAGGATGATTCCTGTCTCTAGAAATCTTCTCTGACAATAATGCTACATAATTAATATTTTCTTTCTTAATAACACGTGCTGTAGAAATGGCCGCGGATTGGTTGGGTAGTTTGGTGTCAATTAACTGTGGACCAACGCTGGGAGTCTACCAGGGAGAAGTATCATCTGTGGACCAGTCCAGCCAAACCATCTCCTTAAGACAGCCTTTCCATAATGGAGTCAAGTGTCCCGTGCCAGAGGTCACATTCAGGTAAGTCTGTGCTACTAAATGTTAGCTCATTGTCAACTTTTTAGCTCATCGGTTTTGTTATTTAACGTCATTCTGACTCATATTTTTTTTCCCCAGTGCCATTGACATAAAAGACCTAAAGATTTTAGATTTTAGAAATGACAATAGTCGGACTACCTCTGCTGCACCTGCAAAGGTAACCAGCGCACCGGTTGCAGTCCCAAAGGGTGACCCTAGATCTGTGGAGAAACTGAACTCTCCACAGCACTGCTCTAAAAGTTATGGAGAGCGTCATCTGGACATACCTGGCCAGCCTAAAGGATTCCGTCGAAGACATAACTCCTGTAAGTGCAATGCTGTTAAATTCACTAAAAATCTGTGGCAAAGTGGTTAACTATATATTTATCATCCCCTCAGGGTCAGCCAGTAATCGAGGGGTAAATCAAGTGACGCCGAAGAAGAATGGGGTGAAGAATGGCCAGATGAAGCAGAGAGATGATGAGTGTTTTGGCGACAGCGTGGATGATTTCCTGGACACAGACTTTGATTTTGAAGGAAACCTGGCTCTTTTTGACAAAGCAGCAGTTTTCTCAGAGATTGACATATCGGAGCGTCGTAATGGTGTGAGGTCACGCGGCACACCTCAGGAGCAGACTCCTACTCGGTACCGGCATGATGAGAACATCCTGGAGGCCAAACCTGTTGTGTACAGACAGATTACTGTACCGCAGCCTGGGGCCAAAGAATACTGCACCGGCAAGTGTTTTATATTGGAATGAATGAAGTGGAGATGCAGGTAAATCAATTTAAGCCTTATTGATGTTTGCTTTACTTTCCACAGACTCTGGACTTGTTGTACCAAGTATAACCTACGAACTGCACAAGCGTCTGTTGTCTGTTGCTGAGCGCCATGGTCTGTCACTGGAGAGGAGACTGGAAATGACTGGAGTGTGTGCCAGTCAGATGGCACTTACATTACTAGGGGGGCCAAACAGGTAAGCAATTATCTAAAATGTGCCTTTTGTTGAACTGGCAACATTTAGGAAATGATACTAATATATGGGGATTCTAAATATCACATTATAGTTAAAATGGGTTTCAGTTTCACTTTGTTCTTTTTAAATATACTTTAAGAAGTTTTTAGTGCAGTGAAAACAACTGTAAAAACCCCAAAATGAATATATACAAAATGCAATACTATTCCCTAGAAAGTAAATACTCCCCAGAGAGTGAGCTGCTTTGGTGGAGGTTTGTGCTCTCAGAGTACTTATTTTTTTCTAAGTTTCTCTCTTGTTTCTATTTATTTCATATTTGTCGCATCAACACTAATTAACCTAGTCATTTTGTTCTTCTAAAGTACTAAATAAAATCTTTGCTATTCCTGCTTCTTCCAGATTCACCCCGAAGAATTTGCACCAGCATCCCACGGTGGCACTGCTGTGTGGCCCTCATGTTCAGGGAGCTCAGGGCATCAGCTGCGGTCGCCACCTGGCCAATCACGAAGTGGAGGTCGTCCTGTTTCTGCCAAACTTTGTCAAAATGCATGACGCCGTGACCAGCGAGGTCACCCTCTTCAACAAAACTGGTGGCAAACAGGTGTCCAGTATCAAAGGTAGGTTTGTTTTGTGGCTTTATTGATCTCTCCCCCTCCAAATACTGTTGGCTTCATTAAAAACAAAAGCGTTGCTAAATACCTTGACATTCTTCTTTTTTCTCTGTGGCTCCACAGACCTCCCTGACACCCCTGTGGATCTAATCATTAACTGTCTGGACTGTCATGAGAACACATTCCTGATGGATCAGCCTTGGTACTGGGCGGCTGCAGACTGGGCGAATCAGAACAGAGCACCAGTGCTAAGCTTAGATCCCCCTGCTAGCGGCCAGGGGCAGGCAGTTGAAGCCAAATGGTCCCTCTCACTTTGCCTTCCACTCCCCTTAGCTGAAGGGGCTGGCAGGGTCTACCTGTGTGACATAGGAATTCCTCGCCAGGTGTTCCAGGAAGTGGGAATCAAATACCATTCTCCCTTTGGCTGCAAATTTGTCATCCCCTTGCACTCGGCATAACGGGTCAGATGGTCGACATCTCACGTCATGTTGACAGATTAAATCTTTTACCTTCCATGACCGTTTGGGTTTTGGCGCCTTATATTCCAGAGTTAGATCTGTTTTTCCAGTTTATCTGTGAAATTTCTAACTCGGCGTGTGCAAACAGATCTTTTTCCTCATACTGAAGGACCAGTGGTGATGCATCTTACAGTAGCGTAGTAGGATTAAGTGCATATAGATAGAGATAGGGGGGGAAAAAGTAAGCATTTCTGAAAATACAGACTTTTGGAGGGTATAGCAAGCAGTTTAATAAGATTGCTAATAAGTCTTGTTAATTCATAATGATAACCAAAGTGTCAAAGAATGCAACATTAGAGCCGTTTCAAAGAGGGAATACAGGAGAACAGTGCTGGTTTCTTCAACTTTTTATGTTAAAGTTTCTCTTGCTGTCAGTTCAAACATAAATATGGTGTCGTGCACACCATATCTGCAATATGTGCACAGCACTTGTGGCAAAGATCATTGTCAGCGTTGTGTCAAACAAAGTCTAACCACATTTAGTTCTCCGTGCTGTAGTCATGAAGAACACAGCATCTAGTTGTCTTTGTGTATGTGCTGCAGAGAAGAGCGTCTGCTTTAGCCCTCACACATACTCAGAGCTCCTGGTTCTGGATTGTGAAAATCTAAAAGTGTACTATAGGCTTCATCTTATTGTACAATACATGCAGTGGCATAAAATGTTACATCATGTTTTTGCTGTTTAGGGCTATCTTTTGTGAGCTCTCAAAAGGCAGGAGACGTGCAGTCATAATCCTCTTCACACTTGTCTGTTATAATGACTGCATACATTCAGACTTGCGCCATGTTGAAAGTATGATATGTAAATGTTAGTCTGTTTTAGATTGCTGCAGGGACTTTTATGAGTGTGTGACTGTGTGCTTGTTCAGACATGAAGTTGACACATTAAGATGCTGACAGCTTAATGGCTGTAAGGGGCTTTAATGTTCAGATTTAAAGTGAGTAGGACAATCACTGATTTAAAACAGGAGAGTTCTGAAAGTCATGGCAATCTAACTTTCTTTCAAAGCACTCCAGTGATTAGACGCA